ATTTTGGATCATTTTGAAACATTTTCTCATCGATTCTTAATTAAGAGGCTTCTTCGCTTCTTAAGGCGAACAGGAAGGTGGCCTTGGAGTCAAATGTCCCATGAGCCTAGGTGCTGACCATTACGGGGTCCCTAATGTAATAAAACCTGGGACTCCCAGAAGTGAAGAAGCTTCTTGTTAAAGACTCCCATGACCTGGATGAATGAGAACACAAACATGTTCTAATGTTTCTTGAATAATAAAGAGCTTTGCGTGTTTGGTCCTCAGACGACATCGAGATCATCTTCAGGCGAGAGTCGTGGAAGGCGAACGGGGAGTTTGCCCAGACAGACGTGCACCGACAGATCGCCATCGTGTTTAAGACTCCGCCCTACGAGGACCAAGACATCACAGAGGAAGTGGAAGTCAACCTGGCCCTGCGTCGCATCTCAGACCAGATGGAGAGCGAGCCCGTTACATTCAAGTACCTGCCTCGCAATCCAGGTCAGTCAGCACTGGACTTCCCTAACATCCTCTTCTGCCACACCAACCCTCTGCACGTCCTCCTTCACTACATCCATGAGCCTCCACTGTCTCTACTCCCTGTAGATTCACTTTTCCGCCGGTCTCCCTCCTTCTTCTGGTCATAAAGTCCACTGTCCTCTCTCCTATACATCTCTACACTTCCACACTTATGTCATCAGGACCAGCCACCTTTCTGTTCTTCCTCCTCTTCATAGCTGTCCTCACTTCCTCCTCACTGCACTTTCTCATTCATTAACTGTCCTCTGTCTTTTTTCTCTCTCAAAGTACTCCTTCCACCTTCTCTTCACACTCTCCTTACTTGTTAGTACATTTCCATCCTGCTGCACATCCTTTCCAGCTCGATCACTTTAATAATAATTCAATTCTGTTTTATTAATTCTGTGTCAAATCACAACAACAGTTGCCTCAAGGCGCTTTATATTGTAAGGTAGAGCCTACAATACAAGTCCATATCTCCTTCCTTACAACTCACTGTAAGGCTCTTTGAATACTTTCCTGTACGTCCTCATTCCACCAAGTCTGCTTGTCCTCTTTCCTCTGTCCACAGGATACTCCAAACACCCTCTTGGCAGTGCCCTTCAGCAGTTAAGTACTTTAGTACTTTCCCAGTAAACTGGTAAGTCATCCTTGAGACTACCATCTGGTGCTGATCAGCTAAATTTGCCAACTTGCAGATGTCATCCTGAGTGCACCTTCCTCCACTTATATACATCACGCTATGGTCCTCCCTCTTCTTAAAGCATTCACCATGGTCCTCTCCATCTTTTTTGGCAGGATCAGGGAAAGTTAATCACCTAAAACATTATAATTTTGCTTCCTCATTCAGTGTTCAACGAGCAGCTTTGACTTTGTAGCTTTAAAATGAGTGTTTTTCTGGAAGTGGTTTCAGATTTGCCTCATTGTCTTGCATGGTGGCAGCTAACATGGGCGGTTTTATTGGTTTTTAGCAGTCATTCTCTTGTATCTGGAGAATACTGATCAAAGAGAAAATGTAGAATCACTGTCTCATACTGGAAGATTGTTCCATTTTGGTGGAGTTAGATTTTCATAATCTAACTCCACCTAGGGTTAACTCACCAGATCTCAGTTTTGAACTTGGTGGGATCAACCTACACACTTTGCAGTTAGGAAGCCTTTAAATAAAATCCCCTGCTTCACAAATTAAACAGCTACCACCTACAGTGTGTGGCCAGCCAGTCAATTAGATGTTAGGTGGGCGACACTAATGTGAATTTTCGTTTGCTGTCTGTGCTAACTCGCTAAGTTGGACACGAAAAAGTGGTTTAGAGCAGCGCTCACATCAGCAAGAAGTCAAGTCAGTAACAACCAAACTGGGAGTAATGATTTGGTTGATATTCGCTGCACTGAGGACACTGATGTTGCTGCTAAGCAGATGATGGAGACCTGTCACATCTCTTTGAAACAACAAAGATGTCAATCATCAGCTCGTGCAGCCGGCTCTTAAACATTTTGTCATTTGATTTGTGAAATAATTGGAAAGTGAAAATTAGTGGGGTAAATTTGTGATTCTAAATGTCCCTGGGTGTGTATGTGAGTGTGAATGGTTGTCTGTTTAAGTGTGTTAGCCCTGTGACAGACCGGACATCTGTCCAGGGTGTACCCTGCCTCTGGGAGAGGCTCCAGCTCCCACACAACCCTGATAAGGATAAGAGGAAGAAAACGGATGCAGTGGAAAGATGTATCAAGTATATTCTACACTGAGTGTTGGTGAATTCATATATTCACTTAAACTAGGAGGACAGGTGTGGTTTATACTAAGCCCACTGTGTAACTTTGCTATATACTAGATGTACCTATTGAACGTTGCATTTGGACTTTCCAACAAGGGGAATTCTGTATGCAAGAAGGCTTGGTTATGTCTAAATCAATTACAACAAAATGAAACTAAACGTTCTCGCTTGTGAGAAGAATAGAAAACTAAGCAGTAATCGGCCACAAGGGACGCTTGTACTTAAGATTTCTCACTTTAAAATAACAGGCTGTGGTAATACTGGTCTGTATACATGGGCAGGATGTTGTGCAACTGTTGCTTTACAAGCATGTAGTAACCAAATCAGGTGACAAGCAAATCTTGTATTTAAAACAAAGACAGATGAGTTTGCACTGCATTGTGAGCATATTTGTTTCTTTAGAAGAGACGGTCTGACTGGACCTCTACTGTACCTGAGCTACAGGGGTGGCTGTAGCTCAGGTGGCAGAGCAGGTCAGCCACTAATAAGAAGGTCGGTGGTTCGATCCCAGGCTGCCTCCTGGCTGCATGCTGAATATCCTTGGGCAAGATACTAACTGGTGGTGGTCAGAGGGCCCGGTGACGCCAGTGTCCTGCAGCCTCGCCTCTGTCAGTGCGCCCCAGGGCAGCTGTGGCTACAATGTAGCTCGCCATCACCAGTGTGTGAATGTGTGAATGTAGTGTAAAGCGCTTTGGGGTCCTTAGGGACTGAGTAAAGCACTAGTGAACCATGTTTCACGTTTGACCCTTCGTCTACAAGTCATTGGGTGAATGGGGATGATCTGTGCTTTGTGTGCACATCTTTGTACGAAATCTGCTTACCTGCTCTTTAATCATTTGCTGTTTTAGCTGTTTGCTGGTTTCATGAGCTTTAACCAGAGATTCTGGTGTTTTTTTGGCAAAATACATGTATATTTAAAAATTGATTCAGGCTTTAATTAATCGATATTGCATTATTCAAGCTAAAATCAATTTGAATCAGGAAATCGATTTTTATAAACCCACCGCTAGAAACAAGCCAGCAAAATATGTAGAGTACTGTGCAAAGTCTTGAGCTGCCCTTCATTTCTTCACACATTTGTTTCTCCTCAACTTTTTGTAGATTTGGCTAAAGAAAGGAAACTAATTGTGTTTTTGCGACAGGCTGCTAGTAACAACGTGCACAAAGACACAATTTGAAACTGGTTCTTTGCTAAACTGTTATGTGTAGACACAGCACTGGTTCATCCTTGTGTTAGTGTATACTTACTAGAGTAGGTCAGTGGTCAGGTATGGTCAATGACTGGGCTAAAAATAAATGTAAAAGCAGCCAATGTCCAAAGAAAAACTTTGAAAGACCTTCAGAAAACCTAAACGACTGTTGCTGAAGAGATTAAAAAAAAAAACATTGCAAGAAAGTCTGGGTCTTTGGAAGCAAAATGTATAGAAAGTTTTTTGATTAGAAGTTTAAAAAAATATTATGATTCAAGAGGGCGAAGCCTGAAAGTGATAAACATATAATTAGAAAATAGTGCTAATTATAGTCTGTTCTATATTGAGTCATTAGTTGCTGTGGGTTGATATTTTGGAGTCTAGCCTTATGGGGGTGGCCTGTACACTGAAAATAAAAAAGGGAAGTCTTAAAATTATGTGACAAGAATACTTCAGAGGGAAACTAGGTGTAGGAAGACTAACAGATTAACAGTAAAAAGGGTACCAAATCCTTTGCATAGTTTAAAGACTTAATAGTTCTGTGGACCTAGGCTTTTGGTTTCCACATAATCCAAGACCACCTCTGTGACATGTAAAACTGAGGTCATGTTTGGCCTGCTGCACAAAATATTGGATACAGTAAAACAAATTTACACTGGCAAAAGAGACACTCCAAACCTTTCTTTTAACCCTCAGCTAACCTTTTTTTCCTAACATCACCTGACCATTTAAATCAGATTCATGTCAGTTTGGCAGGTGTATGATGTTAGTGTAACCAGTTTCTGCTTCACCCTCTGTAACAGGCCGGCCCAAATAAACTCCTTGACTCTGCATTTTGTTGTATTTTTAAAGAAGACAAGGAGTCTCTGGTTTGTCTTGATGCATGCTCAGCCATCCAGGTATGCAAACCGCAAAAGTTTGATTCTGTTCATCTGGACGTAGCATTTTCAGTGGGAGAAAAGTTTCGTCACTCATCCATGTGACTTCTTCAGTCTCAGCTGACTGTAGGTTTCCCCAATCTTATAAATAGTACATTTGCACAATAACTGAAACCAGCACACTGAATGAACAATGGGCTGGGAGGTCAGTTTTTTGATCATTAATATGCAAATTGTGACGTTCATTGCTCAACAAACACTGATCAATGGCCATGAGTACCATTCACAGAGAGTTGGGGAATGGCTGCATTTACGGCATTGTAAGATGTCAAAAGATGTACCCTTGGGCCCCTTCCATGATTCAGAGATGTTTTTTCTATTTTTACGTAAATGGCCTCCTTGACTCCGCCCTCAAACCAGCGTTCCTCCCTGTCCAGGATGTGTACATCCTCATCATTGAAAGAGTGTCCACTGGCCTGTAGGTGTAAATAGACTGCAGAGTCCTGGCCTGACGAGGTAGCTCTTCTATGTTGTGCCATCCGCTTTGCCAGAGGTTGTTTGGTTTCCACGATGTATAAATCCTGGCAATCCTCCTGGCACTTAGCAGTGTACACTATATTACTTGTGTCGGGGGACCCGATCCTTGGGGTGGACCAATTTTTGGCATAGCATGTTTTGGGGTTTGCTTAGGCAGCAGTTGTCCTTCTCTCCTGGATGAACTGGAGCTTTCTTTAGGCGCCTTCCCAGATTTGACAAATGTCCAGCTAGGATCACCACATTTACTCAGGCCTTCTTGATGTGATGTTCTTCTGCTTCCCTGGCTGCTGTGTCTATGGGGATGGTGTTCGTTCTATGCTGTGGTGTCCTGATGACACCCGGTTTGTGCTCCAGTGGATGCATATTAATGATCAAGGACCTGACCTCACAACTTATTGTTCATTCAGTGGGCTAGTTTCAGTTATTGTGCAAATGTACTGTTTATAGGGCTGAGGAAACTTGCAGTCAGCAGGGGTCATTAGCTGCTGACTGCGTTCAGCAGCTAATGACGCTGCGGTCAGCGTTTTGGAAAGCCGTAGATGCAGAAGTAGTTATGCCAGAGTTGGTGCGCTACTGCCTTAGCAGACTGATTAAGGCTGATTAGAAAGGCCTGAGCCATCTTTGGAAAGTGGTTTATGACCACAAGCACATCCACTGATTAGTTTGCTGAATCCTCCAAAAATATTTTTGCGCCGTTCCTTGGTGGCCCTGGTGACCTGCTTCATCATGGACACCTTTTAGTACAGCAGGATGCACGGTTGACGGAACAACATACAGGTAGGTCTTAAAGACTTGATCCAGTAAACTATCTCTTATGGTCAACTTGTCCCAAGCCTTTAGAAGTTTCTTTGTATTGGCTGCTTCTTTGGCCCACTCTCTCCTTGATGGTCTCCGCCCACATTCCACATAGGAGATCACTCTGCACAGCACATCATCATGTGTCCCACTAGGTCATCTTGTAAGAAGGATTCAGATTCAGACCAGTTCGGTGTAAGCACAGACTGAGAGAATTGAGACAGGAGAAGAGCATGTGGCCACACTTTTGACTCATGTTTACTATGGCCCTGGAGAACAGCTCCCACCTCAGCCTGTGCAACAGCTGCACTGAAAAATGACAAGCTGGTCACCGCCTGGGGTCGGAACATTTGTACCCTCTTCCATATAGGGTTGCCTTTACAAGGGATGTAATGGATGCTATTTTCATAGGGTCTGACCTTATTCCATCAGCATTGACAATGTGTCCCAGGAATTTCATAGACTGTCTCAGAAAATGGGACTTCTTTGGAGCCAACTTGAGATTGTAAGCCTGTGGTCTCTGGAAAACCACTTGCAAGTGCTCCAGTGCCACTTCTTCAGTGGCAGCACAAACCAGGACATCGTCAAGACAACATAGCACACTGAGAAAGGTCTGATCTCTGAAAATGGCTAACGTCATCCTCATGAAGGTCGCTGGACTGTTGCACAATCCTTGTGGCATATGATTATATTCGTATAATCCAAATGGTGACGTAAATTCGGTGTACTTACGGTCCTGCTCATGCAGCTCCACATTATAATAACCTGAAGTCAGGTCCATTGTAGAAAATAATGCGTTTCCTCCTAAAGCAGCCAACGCATTGGCCAAAAGCGGAAATGGCTGGGCATCTTTGACAGTTGTAGCATTAAGTCAGCGGAAGTCATTACATATTCTCAACTCACCAGAATTCTTCCAAACTAAGACCAATGGTGATGCAAACACACTGCAAGATTTCTGAATAATTCCCCGTTCCTCCATTTCATTCTGTGGTAGTTTGTCATAAATTTGTCTTAGTTGGTGGCACATGTTGGCATGGCAACCGGAATGGTTTGTCATCCACAACTCGAATTCGATGTAGGCAAGCTCGTCTCTTGAGAAGATGGACACAAACTGTGCTATGAAGCCAACTAGTTTCTCTTTGCCAGCTGGTGAAACTGCACGTGAATCAATTTCAATATCAGATAGCCCCAGATTTTGTAGCACGGCATGTAAGGGGCTACCACAACTTGTCACTTCCTGTGAAGATGCATTTTAGGCTCACTGGCTTGTCAAAGGGGTTCAACACTTTTACAGGGACCCATCTATCACTTTTTCGATATGCCACAGTTCTTCCAACCATAACCGATCTTGGCCTGGACCTTGAGCCTGTGGGTTCTATAACTACAGCAAAGACCACCTCCCCACTATTGATTAGCTGCAGCCTGCCCCAAACTAGGTGTTCTGTCGGTGGCTCCAATGTGACAGCTCTCTTTAGCTTGACAGCTCCAATCTAATCACCAACGTGCTCTCGAACCACCACGCCTGATATTGAACTCAACAGATTTTTATTAGCCAGTTCTTCAGCATTCAGGGCCTTACTGTGTTCCTCTCCTAAATATAGGAGAATAAGGTCCTCACTCTGCCCTGCAACCACCAGCATTGCCACAACAACTTTGCAGCCATACATCTCAACGGTAATGTCACACACACACCTGTTGGAACTGTCCTTGAACAACTACAACCAATCAGGACGACTCAGTGGGTTGGAAGGTTGAGGTCTCCAATGCTACATGACATACCCACATAGCAAGCAGGTCTGGCCCGGATCTGGTATCAAGTCGGCACTGCTAGCTAACTTCTGGCATGATAAGACGTATGTCATCCAGATACGGGCCAGGCCTGGTATAGATGGCACTATGTGATGGCATGCCATATCTGGCTTGATTGTGGTTTGGTTTATGTGGCCCAGGCCCACAGAAAACAGGTCTGGCCCCGAAGAAGATCTGGCATCAAGCTGGCACTTCTGACTGACTGGTGTTTTGGCAGGGTGTATGTCAACCAGATGTGGGCCACGTCTGGCAATGATGGCACTATTTATGTTCCTATTTTCCTATTTAAATTAGAAGACCAAAATGCCATGCTGCAATACTATACTGCTATGGTAGCCAATGTTTCAAATGCAGGTTTGACAGGTTTTTGAGTGTACATTTCATCCAAAACCTAGTGAGGGTTTACTCATCTTTGCCAGTGGGAGGCTGTAGCTCAGGAGGTAGAGCAGGTTACAAACTGATCAGAAGGTATAGTGGTTCGATCCCTGGCTCCTCCAGTCTGCATGTCAAGAGTATGAATGTAGTTAGGAAGCACTCAGTTAAGCGAAAGTGTGTGATTAGGTGAATGTGGCATGTTGTATAGAGCACTTTGAGTAATCTGGGGGAGTAGAAAAGCGCTATATAAGAATCAGTCCATTCACTGTCTGAACAGAGTTCAGCATGTTACTTTTGCACTGTTTTGCATGTTCTGGCAAATGTTGTTATTGCATGGCTTGATTAAGTTACACATTAGGCTGACATCTGGGGCCAGAGCTGAAACTGTTCTGGGCCAGCCCAGGGCCAGCATTGTCTCTACAACTGGCCTATGGCTGCACACCACCTACAGATGGCCCACATGCCGCAAAGAATGACGGCCCTTTCGTGGCCCAAATCAGGTTTGCCAGAGGTAATCCACACATGGGCCAGCACAGGACAACCAGTGTGTATGCAACTGGCCTTGTGCTGTGCCCATGTGTGGGCCACCTCTGGCAAACCAGTCCCAAAAAACATATGTATTATACAGTGTTAAACAAATGAAGAGTACACCAACTGGTGTACTAAGTACTTCATACACTGTGTTCGTCAATTGATAAAACAAGTTTTATGTATCGATAAAACATAACTACTCTAGATACAACTCACCTCTCGTATAGCTTTAACAGACTGGGAGTGATTACTGCAGCCAGCCTCAAATAAACGGCCACAACAACAACTGTATAAAATACTTTTTTCTTCTTTACAGTCATTGTGCCAAACCAGGAGGGAGGGCGCTGTTTCCCCATTGCACTGACAGTTGAGGCAAGTGGAAACACTGTTATGTTAGGAGCACACCGGTGACAGGTGTAGGTGATGCTTGGTGTCATGAAACACTGATGGTCTACTTTTGACTCAAGTAAATCAGAATCAGAATCAGAATGGGGTTTATTGCCAGATGTTGAGGTTTACAACATTAGGAAATTGCTGTGGTGCTTCAGTGCAAACAATAAGAATTAAAGTGCTATGTAGAAAGAAAGAAAGATATGTGCATGAGATATACATGAGATATATACATGAGAATATGAATTATGAGTGCTACGTAGAAAGTATAATGCAAACAATAAGGCATAAGTGATCAATGCAATTAAATCGATTGTACAAACAAGTTCTCAAGACCTAATCGAATGTGTCTGCGGTAATAATGAATATTGTTGGTACATTAATCTTGTTAAGTGTGTAATCAAGCAGTGAAAACACTGAACTCTCCAGAGCTCCCTGACTAAATGTCTCTGGTCGTCGGCCCTCTAAATGGCAGCTTAGCTGCAAAGCGGATTAACAGAGATTAGGTATAATACCTTTGACAGTAGGTTGATAGGCCACTAAGAGGTGAAGATACAGTGAAGCTGTAAAGTGGCCCTGCATTGTTTTTGCTGTATTCCTTAAGATTTTAAACTGCTGATTGGATTGGACTGAAGTCAGCCTGCATTTTTTTAAACTTTATTTAAAGCTTTATTCTAGGTTCTTTATACTGGGACTTCAAAAAAATATGCCTTTATCACAGCAAGCTGAAATTTTCCCCCACAAAGGGCACGCTTTTTTTTTT